TTTTGGCAGTATGGTCATTTTCACAACATTGATTCTACCCATCCATGAACTTGAGTTGTGTTTCTATTTGCTTGTGTCTTCTAAGATGTCTTTCAGCAATGTTTTGTAGTTTTCCTTGTAGAGGTCTTTCACCTCCTTGGTTAGGTACAATCCTAAGTTTGTTTTTTGGTTTTTTTTCAACTATTGGGAAAAGGGTTGAGTTCTTGATTTGATCTTCAACTTGGTCGCTGTTGGTGTATAATAGAGCTACTAATTTGCATATATTAATTTTGTATCCTGAAACTTTTTCATTTACCAGTTCTAGGAGATTTTGGATGAGTCTTTAGGGTTTTCTAGGTACTCAATCCCCTGTCATCAGCCAACAGTGACACTTTGACTTCCTCTTTGCTGATTTGGATGCTCTTTATTTCTTTCTCTTGTGTGATTGCTCTAGCTAGGACTTCCTATACTATGTTGAATAGAAGTGGTAAAAGCAGGCATCCTTGTCTTCTTTCATTTCTCAGTGGGAATACTTTCAACTTTTCCCCATTCAGTATAATGTTGACTGTGGGCCTGTTGTAAACAGCTTTTATTACTTTAAGGTATGTCTCTTCTATGCCAATTTTGTTGAGGGTTTTAATCATAAAAGGATATTGGATTTTGTCAAATGCTTTTTCTGTGTCTATTGAAATGATCATGTGATTTTTGTTTTTAATTCTGTTTATGTGGTGTATCACATTTATTGACTTACGTGTGTTAAACCACCCCTGTATACCTGGTAGGAAACCCACTTAATCATGGTGGATTATCTTTTTGTTATGCTGTTGGATTTTGTTGAGAACATTTGCATCTATGTTCATCAGGGATATTGGTCTGTGATTTTCTTTTTTTGTTATGTTCTTCCCTGGTTTTGCTATTAGGGTGTTTCTGGTTTCATAGAATGATTCAGGGAGGGTTCCCTCTTTCTATATCTTTTGTAATAGTGCAATAAAATTGGTATCAGTTCTTTGAATGTCTGATAGAATTCAGCTGTGAATCCATCTGGTTCTGGACTTTTTCTGTTGGCAATCTTTTTACTACTATTTCAGTCTTGCTGCTTGTTATTGGTCTGTTCAGAGATCCTATATCTTCCTGGTTTAATCTAGAAAGGTTGCATATTTCCAAGAATTTATCCATCTCTTCTAGGTCTACTAGTTTATGCAGATAAAGGTGTTAATAGCAGCCTTGAATAATCTTTTGTATTTCTGTGGTATCAGTTGTAACAGCTCCTATTTCATTTCTAATTGAGCTTACTTGGATCTTCTCACTTCTTTTCTTGGTTAATCTCACTAATGGTCTATCTATTTTATTTATATTTCTAAAAAAAATAGCTTTTTGTTTCATTTATCTTTTGTAGTTTTTTGTTTCAATTTAATTTAGTTATGCTCTGATTTTGGTTATTTCTTTTGTTCTGCTGGGTTTGGGTCTGTATTGTTCTTATTTCTCCAGTTCTATGAGGTGTGACCTTAGATTGTCTATTTGTGCTCTTTCAGACTTTTGAAACAGGCAGGTAATGCTATGGACTTTCCTCTTATCCCTGCTTTTGCTGTATCCCAGAAATTTTGATAGGTTGTATCACTATTATTACTCAGTTCAAAGAATTTTTTAATTGCTATCTCAATTTCACTGTTTACCTAATGAGAATTCAGGGCAGGTTATTTAATTTCCATATATTTGCATAGTTTTAAGGGTTCCTTTTGGAGGTGATTTCCAGTTTTACTCCTTTGTGTTCTGCGAGAGTAATTGATATAATTTCAATGTTCTTAAATTTACTGAGACTTATTTTGTGGCCTATCATATGATCTGTCTTGGAGAATGTTTCATGTGCTGGTGAATAGAATGTATATTCTGCAGTTGTTGGGTAGAATATTCTGTAAGTATCTATTAAGTTTATTTGTTGTAGGGTATAGTTTAAGTCCATTGTTTCTTGACTTTCTGTCCTGATGTACTATCTAGTGCAGTCAGTGGAGTGCTAAAATTTCCTACTATTATTGTGCTGCTGTCTGTCTCATTTCTTAGGTCTAGAAGTAACTGTTTTATAAATTTGAGAGCTCCAGTGTTAGGTGTATGTATATTTAGAATTGTGATATTTTCCTCTTGGACTAGTTTTTTTATCATTATGTAATGTCCTTCTTTGTCTTTTTAAACTGCTCTTGCTTTAAGATGTGTTTTGTCTGATGTAAGAATAGCTACTTCTGCTTACTTTTGGTGTGGTTTCCATGGAATGTCTTTTTCCACCCCTTTACCTTAAATTTATGTGAGTCCTTATGTGTTAGGTGAGTCTCCTGAAAACAGCAAAAACTTGGTTGGTGAATTCTTACCCATTCTGCCATTCTGCATCTTTTAAGTGGAGCACTTAGGCCATTTACATTCAATGTTAACATTGCGTTATAAGGTACTATTTAATTCATTGTGCTTTATTAAATACCTTGTTGCCTGAATGCCTTGTTGTTGTTTTTCATTGTGTTATTGTTTTATAGATCTTATAAAAGTTTATGTTTTAAAGAGGTTCTATTTTGGTGTATTTTGAGGATTTGTTTCATGGTTTAGAGCTCCTTTAAGCAGTTCTTGTAGTGCTGGCCTGGTAGTGGCGAATTCTTGCAGCATTTGTTTGTCTGGAAAACTTTGTATCTTTCCTTCATTTATAAAGCTTAGTTTTGCTGGATACAAAATTTTTGACTGATAATTGTTTTGTTTAAGGAGGCTAAAAATAGGACCCTAATCCATTCTAGCTTGTAGCTTTCTGCTGAGAAAACTGTGGTTAATCTGATAGATTTTCCTTTAGAGGTTATCTGATGCTTTTGCATCACAGCTCAAAACATTCTTTCATCTAGACTTCAGATAACCTGAAGACTATGTGCCTAGGTACTGATCTTTTTGCGATGAATTTTCCAGGTGTTCTTTGAGCTTCTTGCATTTGGATGTCTAGATTATTCTCTCAAATATGTTTTCCAAACTTCTAGATTTCTCTTCTTCCTTGGGAATACCAATTATTCCCAGGTTTCGATGTTTAACATAGTCCCAAACTTCTTGGAGGCTTTGCTCATTTTTAAAAAATTCCTTTTTCTTTTTCTTTAATGAATGGGGTTAATTTGAAAGCCTTGTTGATACTCTGAAATTCTTTCTTCTGCTTGTTTCATTCTATTGCTGGGACTTTCCAGCACATTTTGAATTTCTCTAAGTGTGTCCTTGATTTCCAGAAGCTGTGATTGTTCTTTATTTATGCTTCCGGTTTCACTGAAGAATTTTTGTTTCATATCCTGTATCATGTTTTTGATTTATTTAAGTTGGACTTCACATTTCTCTGGTGCCTCCTTGATTAGCTTAATAATCAGCCTTCTGAATTCTTTTTCTGGCAATTTGGAGATTTTCTTTGGGTTTGTATCAATTGCTGATAAGCTGGTATGATCTTTTGGGAGTGTTAAATAAGTTTGTTTTATCATATTACCAGAATTGTTTTTCTTGTTCATTTTTGTTTGGGTGGACTATGTCAGAGGGAAAATCTGGGACTCAAGGGCTGCTTTTCAGATTCTTTCGTCCCAAGGGTGTTCCCTTGATATGCTGTTCTCCCCCTTCCCCTAAGAATGGGGCTCACTGTGACAAAACTGTAGTGATTGCTTTTGCTCCTCTGGGTCTAGCCACCCAGCAGAGCTTCTGGGCTCCAGGTTGGTACTAAGGAGTGTCTGCAAAGAGTACTGCAATATAGTGCATCTTTAGGTGTTGCAGCTGTGGAACCAGCACCTGCTCTTGTGGAAGTAGCAGGGGAGTGAAATCGACTCTGTGAGAGTTTTTGGTTAGGTTTGTGTTTAGTGCACTGGTTTCGTGTCAGTTGGCCTCTAGCCAGAAGGTGATGCTTTCAAGAGCGCATCAGCTGTGATCCTATAGGGAGGATGCAAACCTGTCCTAGGGATACCTGGTTAACTATTCAGGTTTCACAGAAGATGGGCCGGACCGTAGGGCTCCCAAAAGATTATGACCTTTGTCTTTGGCTACCAGGGTGAATAAAGAAAGACCACCAGGTTAGGACAAAGATAGGCGTGTCTGACTCCAGCCTCTCTTTGTGTGGGGTTTATTGTGGCTGCTGTATGGTTGGGGGTGTGGTTCCCCGTCTAATGAAGTTATTTTCCCAGGGGGATTATCGCTGCCTCTGCTGCATCATACAGGTCGCCGGAGAAGTGGGGAAAAGCTGGCAGTCACTGGCCTCACCCTGCTCCCACACAGCCTGCAGTCTTGAAGGCTGGTCTTACTCCCACCATGTCCTTCAGCAGCACTGAGTCTATTTCCGGGCAGCTGGTGACAGGCAGAGAATATGTCCCAGACCACCAACCTCCCTGCTGAGAAAATAACTCAACTCATGATTTTTTGACATCTCAGAGAGCCTGCAGCAGTGATCCCATTCCTTCAGAGGGTCTGTAGATTATTTCAGCTTTCCTGGTATGTTTCTGTGATAGTTCTTGGAGCAAAAGTTCTCTATGTGAGTTTCCATATGCTGCTCTGTGCATCTGGGTGGGAGCTGCAAGCTAGTACTGCTCTTATCCACCATCATCCTCTGCAAATAAATAATTTTCAACTGGAATTTATCAGTAATCTGTTACAGGCACTTAATACATATACACATATTGTCTAGTCTCGATGAGCACATTATAGAGGAAATGTTAAGTAACTTGCCAAACTTCCCACAGCCAGATAGTGGCAGAACTAGAATTGATACTAAGCAGAGAAAAGGCCCATGTTCAAAAGCCTTATATTATTCTTTCTTTATTCTTGGTGTCTAATAAGTAATAACCAGTTTATTTGCTCCAGTCTTAAATTTAAAAAGGATGTGATAGGAAAGGATAAATTATAATAGTATAATCCTACTTTGTTTTATGGTAAAGCAAATCAGTTACCACAAGACAGAAAATCACTACAAACACACACACACATGCACACACACATACACACACACACACATAAAATTGTGAAATTATACAGTCTAATTTTTTTAATTTTTTGAAAAATTGACCCGTTTTTAATTATTTAAAAACAAAAAACACATCAAATTTCCTTTACCATCTACAGTTCAGTTATATCCAAACACTCTAAGACCAAACGGAAGTAGGGATGACAATGAGACACTGAAGACACATGGAGGTGAATGCTGAGGACCATCGTATTCCCAGCAGGAGGTCACAAGTCTTTCATTCAGACACTCCAATGCTTTTCATTTCAGTTTGTTAAAGTACATGTTTTATAGGAAGTTCTTTACAATAACTTCACGCCAGACACCAGGTTTCTTCAACAGTACACAGCTCCATGAAATTTTGTGTTTCCATCCAGTTGACAAGAATAAAAAGGAATTTTTATTTTTCTTTTTTTGGGCTGTAGAGACATAAAATGGTCAGATTCCTCTAGGAATAAATGAGGAAACGGAAAGAAAAAATCTGGACTATGCTGGTGCTGGTTATTACTCATCTTTCTGAGGGTGTGACTACAAAAGTGTCACACTTAGGCCACTACAATGATTAGTACTAGTAATCTTTTTTTTCAGATGATAAAAAGGAAAAAACCCAATGGACATAAAAATGGTCAAAGGTTTTTTTACTGCAGGTCAATTTTCCCCCACCCAAAAAATATACAAAATGAACATATAATTGGGGTGGTAACTCCACTGGACATTCCAATTCACTCACCTGCTTGTCCCCAACACGGGTAAGGGGAACAGGCATCAGGTTTTATTAGCCGTGTTATAGCAATAACCAGATGTGTTAACGGCAGCTTATTTGCAGTACACTGATCCTCTGAACGTTCATGGCCTCTGAACGTTTCGGAAAGCATGATCCTCTGAACGTTTCGGAAAGCATGGCTGTCAGTCTCTGACTGCCCACATCTGAGCACATTCACCTACCATGGAAACTACAAGGGAAGGAAAAATACATTTATTCCAAGATGTACTGGGATTTTTAAGTGCCCTTTCTTCCACAGAGCCCCAGAGTGGTGACAAGGTGCTAGGGACTGCTGTGTTTTCCAGCATGAGCTCCCATCCGCTGAGGGTCCTGAGAAGGTTAGTGGATTGGTCCTGGAGCCCTCATGAAAGGAGGGGGTGGTCCCATTGGGTGGAACATGTGTGACCCAAAACCTGGTGGGGGGGTGGGGCGATACCAGGGGGTGGTGGCAGGGCAATGTTCACCACAGCTGGAGGACCACTTGGGGGCAAGTTGAAGTAGTTGGCAGAGGCTTCTTCTGCCGCAGGAGGAGGAGGAAGAGCTCCTGGCAATCCTGGAACCAGTTCCAGTTTTATCCCAGAGTCTGTGGTTCCATCTTTCTCTTTTTCTTTTCCTCTGGCTGCTTGGGATCTTCCCCATTTCACATTCAGTCTGCGACCATTTACAATCAACTTATTAAAGGACTTCTCAGCAGCCACTTCTGTAGCCTGCCTCATGGCAAACTGGATGAAAGCACACTGCTGTCTGTGCACAACAGTGATCGTCTGGATCTCTCCGAACTGGTAAAAATGATTTCTTAAATCTGTCTCAGTAATAGTATCACCCAGACCACCAACATATAGTGTGGTGATAGTTTTATCCTCTGGTGGGTCTAGCCGAGGCATTGTCGAAGCCCGCTTTAGAAGCTTGGCAGCTACAGGATCATTGATTCCGTAGTATCGATCTTTAATATTCTGATCAGCAAGGGGGTCATCTGGATCTGTAGGCTTCTCATGTCTATATGGGCATTCCTCTCCTCTCTTACACTCTCCTTTCACCCAGAAGGAGCAAATGTGGGGTCATTCCTTTTGTAGTAGGGTGTGGTCCGGGCCAGTTTGAGCAGCATGTCACTGGTAGATGTGGCTTTCCCCAGCATGCCAACTGGCCGTGTTCCATCAGAGTTAGAAATCTCTCTCTCCATATTCTGTGTATAGTACTCTTTGTTGACATCTGACTTTGGCATGTCATCTTTAAAAGACAATCCTGCGTCACGAACCTGGATGGGCAGGCCATACTCTAGGTCTAAGAGGCAGGTCTGACAGACATTCTTCAATGTACTGCAGGTCTGGCACACTTCAGTCTTCTTGAAACGCATATGGACTCCGGGGCACCAGCAAAACACTGTGAACGGCCTGGCACAGATTTTGCATTCCTTCCCATACTTTTCTTTGGTCATTCGGATATATGGGTTTTCTCCAAGACATGTCTGGCACAGAATGGGGAAGTCTGCATCTTCCCAGTTCTGCCTGTTGTAGGTGTTGGAACCCAGAGAGGTCGCCATCTTGAGAGCGTCCAGAGGCAGCAGTAGCTTCTGAGTTGGGAGAGAGCACAAAATCTAATTTTGTTGTCAATATGCCCCTGCAAAGACTGAGTTGATTGTACTACACCTTCTCAGAGTTCTATCCAGGAAAGGATAAGAAGGTTCACATGCTTCTTCTTTTTTTTTTTTTTTTTCTTTTCCTAAATGGCAAAAAGCCCAGACTTTTTTGTTACCATTCCATGGTAAACATTTGTCTCTCCAGTCACCCAAATTCATGATTCATTTGTTAGGGGCTTAGTGGGCACATTTTGGCTGTCAGCCTGCCATGTGCCCATGCCGGGCATTGAGTGAGCTCTGTATAAAGGCAGTCTCTCCTTTTTGACCATACAAGAGCATGTGCATGGGCTTTCTAACCAGATGCAGCTTAGCAATGAGATAGGTATGCAACACAGGAAAGGCCTAAGGAGGCACCTCGCCCATGAATTACCACGGGTGCCACACTCAGCATTGAGCACTGTCGGCCATGAACTACATTCATAGAGGAGGAGCACAGTAGCTGTACTGTTTTATCGTGCCTCTTTATGTGTTAGATAGCACAGAGATGTGACTTCTTAAGGAACCATCACCATTTGAAACACACGTGAGGCAAGTCTAGAACTGCTATATCATACAACAACTATGTGTTTACTTTGTTTCATAATGATTCATAATGCTGTTTTGTGCATTATGAATCAGGCTATGCAGCCTCATTTTTTACATCATTTAAAAATGAGACTTTTGGCAAGGCCAGTTCTAAAAATGTGAATAAGACCTTGCTGGAGTTCAATCTTTTGCCTTCAAGAAATCATTGTACAAAACAACAACCATATAAAACTTGAAGAATAGCTGAGAATGTAAATGTAGAGGAATTAAAGAGGCAAAGGATCAGTTAAAGCCATGTCTTTTCTTTCTATTAGGTTGGTGCTTTCTCTAATACTTTCTGTTTCTTATTTCATTCATTCTTTTAATGTATAATTATTGTGTGCTTTCTATGTGCAACGTACGGTAGCAGGAACAAGAAGAAAGGAGGTAATTTTGAGGCACAGAGTAGTCTGAGGGGTAGACTGCTGCCAGGAAGTGTGCTAATAAGCATGATTTAACTTAGGAAATGAACATAATCTACCCAACTAACAGTAATATTCAAGTGAAAGAGGAATAAATATAAAGAAGTAATAAAATTCCCTTTTATATTGCCTGTGCCAAATTTTATCCAAAGTCAGCCCCATAGCCAGAAAGGAGAAGTAAATGAGTGTTTAGAAGTAAATAAGTGTTCTCTGCCTCCTTCCTTCCTGATCTCAGAGTTCTATCTCAAGCACCACAACCACAATTCAACTTAATTACACATTCAATAGGTTTCAGGTGGGGAGAGACTATAATTTTAAAATATTTTCTATCAGAAATTATGTGTTAAATACCAAACTGTTTACAAGCAAATTTTGAGACCTGTGTGCACCTACATGGAATCATGTTCTTTCCTTTTCATAGGACTTAACACATCATATACTATATTTGTAATGACGTAATTATATAGAGCTTAGCTAACTGTGTAAAGGTAGGCTGAATATGTAGCAAAATTTCTTTCTTCATAGTTAAAAGTTCAAGATCTATTTATGGCCACCATATTAGTCCACTTTCATACTGCTGATAAAGACATATCCGACATTGGGAAGAAAAAGAGGTTACATTGGACTTACAGTTTCACATGGCCAGGGAGGCCTCAGAATCATGGCAGGAGGTGAAAGATACTTCTTAAATGGTGGTGGCAAGAGAAAATCAGAAAGATGCAAAAGCAAAAATCCGAATAAAACCATCAGATCTCATGAGACTTATTCACTACCACAAGAACAGTATGGGGGAAACCAACCATATAATTCAAATTATCTCCCACTGGGTCCCTCCCACAACACATAGGAATTATGAGAATACAATTCAAGATGAGATTTGGGTGGGTACACAGAGAAAAACCATATCATTCCACCTTGACCCCTCTAAATCTCATGTCCTCAAATTTCAAAACCAATCATGCCTTCCTAACAGTCTCTCAAAGTCTTATTTCAGCATTAACCCAAAGGTCCACAGTCCAAAGTCTCATCTGAGACAAGTCAAGTCCTTTGCACCTATCAACTTGTAAAATCAAAAGCAAGCTAGTTACTTGCTTAGACACAATGGGAATACAGGTATTGGATAAAATACAGCCATTCAAAATGGGAGAAATTGGCCAAAACAAAGTGGTTACAGGACCTCTGCAAGTCTGAAATCCAGTGAGGCAGTCAAAATCTAAATCTCCAAAATAATCTCCTTTAACCTCATATCTCACATTCAGGTCATGCTGATGTAAGAGGTGGGTTCCCATAGTCTTGGGTAGCTCTGGCCCTGTGACTTTTACAGGGTAATGTTGAGTGTCTGCAGCTTTCCCAGGCCCATGGTGCAAGCTGTCAGTAGATCTACCATTCTGAAGTCTGGAGGACAATGGCCCTCTTCTCACAGCTCCACCAGGTGGTACCCTGAATAGGGACTCTCTGTGGGGCTCCAACCCCACATTTCCCTTCCACACTGCCTTAGCAAAGGCTCTCCATGAGAGCCCTGCCCCTGCAGCAAACTTTTGCCTGGGCATCCAGGCGTTTGCATACATCTTCTGAAATCAAGGCAGATGTTCCCAAACCTCAATTCTTGACTTCTGTGCACCCACAGGTCCAACACTACATGGAAGCTGCCAAGGTTTGGAGCTTGCACCCTCTGAAACCATGGGCCAAGCTATACCTTGGCTCCTTTTAGCAATGGCTAGAACAGCTAGGATGCAGGGCCCCAAGTCCCTAGACTGCACACAGCATGAAGACCCTAGGCCTGGCCCATGAAACCATTTTTTCCTCCTAGGCTTCTGGGTTTGTGATGGGAGGGGCTGCCATGAAGACCTATAACATGCCCTGGAGGCATTTGCCCCATTATCTTGGGATTAACATTTGCCTCCTTGTTACTTATACAAATTTCTTGAATTTCTCCTCAAAAAACAAAAAAGAGTTTTTCTTTTCTACTGCATCTTCAGGCTGCAAATTTTCTAACTTTTATGCTCTGTTTCTCTTTTAAAATGGAATGCTTTTTTTTTTTTTTTTTTTGAGACGGAGTTTTGCTCTTGTTACCCAGGCTGGAGTGCAGTGGCACAATCTTGGCTCACCGCAACCTCCGCCTCCTGGGTTCAGGCAATTCTCCCCACTCAGCCTCCTGAGTAGCTGGGATTACAGGCACGTGCCACCATGCCCAGCTAATTTTTTGTATTGTTAGTAGAGACGGGGTTTCACCATGTTGACCAGGATGGTCTCAATCTCTTGACCTCATAATCCACCCATCTCGGCCTCCCAAAGTGCTGGGATTACAGGCTTGAGCCACCGTGCCCAGCCACAAAAATGGAATACTTTGAACAGCACCTAAATCACTATTTTTTTTTTTTTTTTGAGACAGCGTCTCACTGTAGTGTCCAGTCTGTAGTACAGTGGTATGATCTTGGTTCATTATAACCTCTGCCTCCCAGTATAAGATTATCCTGCCTCAGCCTCCCAAGTAGCTGGGAATACAGGTATGTGCCACCACACCTGGTTCATTTTTGTATTTTTAATAGAGACAGGGTTTCACCATGTTGGCCAGGCTCATCCCGAACTCCTGACCTCAAGTGATTCACCTGCCTTAGCCTGCCAAAGTGCTGAAATTACAGGCATGAGCCACTGTTCCTGGCCCCAAGTCACATTTTGAATGCTTTGCTGCTTAGAAATTTCTCCCACCAGATACCCTGAATCATCTCTCAAGTTCAAGTTCTCTCGGGCTTTAGGTCAAAGCCATTCAACAAGTCTCTAGGAAGTTCCAAACTTTTCCACATTTCCCTATCTTCTTCTGAGCCCTCCAGACTGTTCTAACCTCTGCCTGTTACACAAAGTCGCTTCCACATTTTTGGGTATCTTTTCAGCAACACCCCACTCTACTGGTACCAATTTACTGTATTAGTCCGTTTTCATGCTGCTGTTAAAGATATACCCAAGACTGGGAAGAAAAAGAGGTTTAATTAGACTTACAGTTTCACATGGCTGAGGAGGCCTCAGAAACATGGCGGGAGGTGAAAGGCACTTCTTACATGGGGGCAGCAAAAGTAAATGCGGAAGATGCAAACGTGGAAACCCCTGATGAAACCATCAGGTCTCGTGAGACTTATTCACTACCATGAACAGTATGGGGGAAACTGCCCCCATGATTTAGATTATCTCCCACCAGGTCCTTCCTATAACACATGGGATTTATGAGAATATAATTCAAGATGAGATTTGGGTGGTACACAGAGCCAAACCATATCAACCACTATCTTTCCACTTATTGTGGATACAAAACTGTTTTTGTGTGTGTGTGCGTGTGTGTGTGTGGATTTCTAGTATGAAATTTTTAATCCTAAACATTTATCAGTAATACATTAATTATAACTTAAAGTATTTTTTCCTTGAAGTTAAATTTGTGGTAGAATTTTTGAACTTCAAAAGCTTAGAATTCATTCAATCCTTTCTTGGGTGAAATTTTTGAAGCAGTGAAAAAAATGATTTTTTTTTTATTCTGTACCACGACTATTTCAACACTACATACTTACATTCTTGTGAGTAATTTTAAATAATTTTCTGAGAGATCAGCTCAGTTACTGAACAAAATTTAACAAAAAAAACGCCATTAAATCTGAAGTTGCTATGCTTATGGCACAGGCACATTTTTAACATTCCTTTTCTTCTCCAGAATTTTTCAGATCCAAACACCTTATCAGAGTTAATTGCTTTTTAGGGCTTATATTTAGAGACCTTTTAGTAAAAGTCAAGAGACTTCATCTTGTGTTTTTTTGGGACTTCAATCTAAAGAAATGAATCAGAGTGGTTGTTAAATCTAAATTAATATTGTTGAAATTCCATTGGCAACACAACTGCGGATTTGGAATATCTGTTGTGACTTTAGTACACTTTAGTCATGAAGGTTGAGTGCAAAATATTATAACATTTCATAAAATTCTG